TTATACAAATACTAAAGGACAATTCAAAAAGCATATCGGTTGTATAAAATCAATTAGTTACATGTATTTGTGTATTATACATGTAATTTAACTCAAAAATTCGGAAAATGTAATAATATTATTTTAACGAAGATAATTAACTATAAATAATATGTCAAATTGATTTGATTGTCTTACACTAAAAATAAATAATTTTAAAATTTATCTTTATATTGTTCAAAATTATTAATATACCTATAAAGTCAAGGTTATCGTATACATGATTGCATAAAGGACAACGGTAACATATCTTATCAATTTTCCAATTATCTATACAACCTTGGCAAAATTTATGTAAACATTCTCCAATAGATGTATCTGGATTATTTAATAAACAGACAGCACATGTTTCTAAAAATGAAAAATATAATAAATTATTTGAAACAATAATAAATATTTGGTTAAGATATAGTTGTTATAGTAGAAAAAATCGTTTTGAAAACTCTATGAAGACTTAACTTCATAACGCCACAATCATAAAAAAATTTACTTAGATTCTTTATAACGAATTTTTAATAAATTTTATTATATTCCAAATTCATATTTAATAAAATAAAGAAATTATTAAATTTTAACTTACCATCTGCATTTTGGTCATCATCTTGAGTACAATTTGCTTTGAAAATACATAATTTTCAATAACAGGTTATATAAGACCAGTATTTATTATATCATACATTCCATATCATGTGTTTAGTATTACAACAACACAATATAAAAATGATACTAAATTTGTGACTATGTACAACACCTAGAGACATGTCTCTAGAACAATAATTATTACTGAAATATCTATGATAAACACCGATAATTATTAATCATAGAAAATATAATACTTTAATGAAAAAAATACCATGAAATTCATATTTCGAAATATTTTTCATGTATAAGACCATACTGTTTTACTTCTATTTACGAACACTACATTTCTTTTTATAAAAAAATATCATTGCGTATAACTTAAGTTTGAAAAAGTAAAATTCAACATAAATTTTTGGACTTGTAACTGAGTACTTTCGTTGAAAACAAAAATCTCAAAATCGGAGCAATAAACAATAAAAAAAATGTATAAAATTTATATTTTAGTGTCCCCATAATACATAAATATATAATCAATTATTTGTCAATTAAAGAAAAATAATATATTTTCTTGTACAGTTAAATCTATCACATTTTAGTATGTTACAGCAATTATTGACGATAAAGTATTGTTAAATTACAAATTCATTATTATTGATTTAAAAACTCGATTTATTTTTTACTTACGTTCTTCGATTTGATTATCACCTGGAATAGTATATGTTATCATACATAAAAATTAATATATATATTTTTATGTTAACTTGTAATCAACGAATTTTCAATTTTAAAAATATATTTTAATAATATTATATATTTTTAGTAACAAAACATTTATTTTAAGATTGAAGAGACACTAAAATAGCGGTATATGCTTTCCTAGACTCCCTCTGTTAATTATTTAATGAATTGTTCAAAATTAAAAATAAATAATAATATTAATAATAAAAATTATTCTAATATCTTTTGTAGGAATAATATCCGCTATTGGATACTGTTGTGGAAGTATGTAAAAAAAAATACATATTTTTTTTACTTTATTTTTACTATTATGTTATTCAATAATTGAATATTTACATTATCATATTTAATAAGTTCTTAATTAATATAGCCAAAAACAACACTAGGATTCTTTATTGGAATAAAGAGTTAATTAGGTTTTATCTTACGTTCTTTATTTTGGTCATCGTTTTGAATATCACATGCTATCAAAATATACATAATTTATATTATTTTATCATCCAATAATATATTTAATTAAAGCAGTATTTATTTTATATTGTATATTTATAAAATATATAAACATATTGTGTTTTGCGTATAACAAGGACATAACATATAAAAATTAATTGTTTTATAAAATATGTACTTTAAAATTGATATATCTTAATATGTAATATTTACGATATATTCTAAATTCATATAAGTGCGTATAATATTTGTTTCGTAAATGTAAATTTTAACATTTCTGGCAGTAGCTTTCAATATTTTATATTAAAATAAAAACCGTCTATTTTAATTAATAACGTGAACTGTATTTTTACTATGTGATATTTACATTTCATCTTTGAATTGGTTCGCAGAACTTACCATTAATGTCTAGTTTACAACTGAATAACATTAAAAAAGGCCTACACCGTACCACCATTATTCAATAATAATATAAATCTTCAATTCCCAATTTCAAACATTTTTTTCAATAGTCATAAATATAATTTGAAGGTAATGATTTATTTTTAACTTACAAATTTCATTTTGCTTATCGGCAGAGATACCATCTGCTTACAAAACATAAAAATTAATATGTACCAAGTAATAGGTCTATCATAAACGATTCAAATATTCACAAAATAAATATAATACCAGAAACAATTTTTATTATTTTTATTTGTATATATTTTTATATTTATTATCAATTATTCACTTTTTAAAATCATGCTTTATAACTTATAGAAATGTCAGCTTTATATTTTTCAAATAGCATCGTACATAATTTACTAGCTTCTTTTTAATAGATTATGATTAAATTCGTAAGTCACTGATAGATAAAAACTTTTGGATCAGTACTACGGATATTATTCTCATATGTAATCTTTGCTGATTGGGGAAGTACGACCGAGAAATCACTGATACTAAAAATAGCTGCACTCAAAACGCAACTTTCGCCAGAATTTTAATTTGTTAATAGCTAATGAAATATTGTTCTAAAAGATGTTATTAATCAGTTATTTTATGAATTAAGTCATTATCATTAAATAAGCTAGTAAATTATGTACGTTGTCATTTAAAAAAATAAAGTTGACACTCCTATAAGTTATAAATATATAAAAATATTTTATTTTTCTATAGGTACACTTTATGAAATTTGTTTATTTATATGTTGTTCACTACATTGACACAAGTAAAATAATATAAAAAGTTAGTGATGGGTGGATAGTAGTTGTGCTAAAGCTTCATCGCCATATAATACCTCTAAACATGACCTATAAAAAAGCCCATGGCATGACTAGTATCGTAATTATAATAATAATGATCAGTATTAAATATTTCTATTTTCCAAANCATATAATGACCTATAAAAAAGCCCATGGCATGACTAGTATCGTAATTATAATAATAATGATCAGTATTAAATATTTCTATTTTCCAAANTTTTTCTTTTTTTTGATTCTATACTTCCACAATTTTCTACGTACAAATATCGTAACAAAAATCATTGTCTTTAAAAAAGCTTACTATTAAATAAAATTAAGTGTGTAAACGATACAAATAGAATTATTTATTCAATATTTAAGTAAACAGAGTAAATATTCAGCTATGACATATGAAATTTCGTTTCATATATTAGTTTTTCTTTTCAGAAGTTAATAATATCCTACGTTCTATAATTTTTAGAAAAAATATTTTCTGTACTCCGTATTCCTTAAAATTTTATAAAATTNAATTTAACATGCTAAAGAGGGTAGTAATCACATGTTAGAGTTTAAAAGTTGGTTCTAGGCAAATAACAGACTGAATCAGATTTAATTAGTTCTTAATTAATTTAAACAAAAAACGGTAGCACAGTGGGGTCGCGGCATAGTGGAGACATTGCATAGTTGGGTTCAGTATAGATTTAATCTGACAGTGATTAAAATCACTATCATAAGAAACGCTTCGATGCAAATCTGTAGATAGTGTTTAATTTTAAAAAATTGATGGATAATTGCAAAAGCAACATCAACTTCTATTAAAATAAAATACAAAACCCATAATTATCATACAAAAATAGTATATTTTTCAATATGGTA